ATTGTATGCTAGGGATGTGTCCTGTCTCCATACCTTTTCAACCTGTAGGCAGAACAGATTATCCGGGAGGCTGGGCTCTATGAGGAGAAATGTGATATCAGGATTGGTGGAAGAATCATCAACAATCTGCATTATGCAGATGACACAACCCTGCTTGCTGAAACTGAGGAGGACCTGAAGCGCTTGCTACAGAGGGTCAAGGACTGCAGCCTCCAATATGGACTGAGGCTCAATGTCAAGAAGACAAAGATTCTCACCACTGGACCAATTGGCAGCATCAGGATGGATGGTGAAGAGATTGAGATTGTTAACAACTTTAATCTGCTTGGCTCCATGGCCAATATTCTTGGCACCAGAAGCCAAGAAATTAAAAGACATATTGCCATGGGAAAGTCTGCTGTTAGGGACCTCTCCAAAGTATTGAAGAGCAATGGTGTCTCTCTGGAGACTAAGGTGCATCTGATACAGGCCATGGTCTTTGCAATCATTTGTTGTGTCAGAGAGTTGGAAAATGATGAGGTAGGGTAGAAGGAGAATTGATGCCTTTGAGCTGTGGTGCTGGAGAAGAGTATTGAGAGTACCGTGGACTGCTAAGAAAACAAACAGTTCATCCTGGAGAGGGTTAAACCGGGTGGCTCCTTAAAGGCAAGGATTCTGAGGCTTCATCTGACATACTTTGGACATGTAAGGAGGGACCTTGGAGAGAGACATCATGCTTGGTAGGGTGAAGGGACGGTGCAGGAGGGGAAGGCCCTCTATGAGGTGGATTGATTCAGTGACTGGGGTAATCAGGATGGGAGTGTCGGAGACAGTGCGATTGGCACAGGACAGAGCAGAGTTTAGGGCTATTGTACATAGGGTCGCTATAAGTCACAAGAAACTCGATGGCACATAACAACAACAATAACACCCATTCTCGCTTGTTCAAACTAACAAAGCAAAAGCTATATCAAAAGGTTTAATGTATCAGGGAGTAGTGACTAGAATGATACAATCTGATGCCAACAATTTCAAAAACTTTATCATTTCACCAGGGAACTTTCATGAATGTCATCAGTGAAAAGGAATTTCTCATTTATCACAACTTCTTTGATTTAGTCACTTGCCTCTTTATTCCAAAGAAAGTATCTAAGACATGCATAAAAACATAAAAAAGAAAATCCATGGTGTTACTGAATGTTTTTATCAAAGATTCCATCAACAAATTTTTATCAAGGGGAGCTCTGGTGGCCTAGTGGTAAGGAGCTGCAACTACAATCCCAGAGGCACACGGTTCGAATCCACCAGATGCTCTGCCGGGGAAGGAGGGACAATCTCCTCCTGTACCAGTCAGATCTGATTTGACGGTACACTTACATAAAAATAATAAAATAAAAATTTAAAAAAACCCAAATTTTTATGAAAAGGAGGGGAAATGCAGAACAAACTTTCAAATGCTCATAAAACTCAGACTATCTGAAGCCATTCATGCTGCATTACTGAAACTCACAACTACTGCCTTGAGATAATATTAAACTTAGGCCAAAAATATTTCCCAAAGTCATCTTCAAGCCAAAAAATAGTTTAGCTTAATCTGTCTGAGCATTGTCCTCTTTTACTAACTCTGTAGGGTCTCTCTGCTAAGGTGCGCCTGATCCGGGCTATAGTCTTCGCAATTATGTGCTATGCATCAGAGTGTTGGACAGTGATAGGGATGATAGAAAGAGAATTGATGCCTTTGAGCTGTGGCGCTGAAGAAGAGTGTTGAATATATCATGGACTGCTAGGAGAACAAACAGGTTTGTCCTGGAGAAGGTGAAGCTGGAATGCTCCTTGGAGTCAAGGATTCTGAAGCTTCGTCTGACACACTTTGGGCATGTTGCAAGGAGGGTCCTTGGAAAGGGATATCATGTCTGGGAGAGTAGAGGAGCGGCACAGGAGAGAAAGACCTTTGATGAGATGGATCAATTCTGTGACTGGAGTGGTGGGAATGAGTGCGTTTGAGATGGTTAGGTTGGCACACAATAGAACGGAGTTTAGAGCTCTTGTACACAGGGTCGCTATGAGTCACAAGCGACATGATGGTACATAACAACAACAACAACATAGGGTCTTTGATGGTGAAGTCCATGGAGAGTTGGGCTTCTAACCCAAAGGCTTGCTTCTCTGGAAGAAAAAGACAGGCAATCTCTTTCTGTGTGATTTAAAGCCTCAAAAACCCACTGGAGGGTCAGTTATGAGTTGGTTGCAACTTGATGGCAATAAATAGGAATAGTAGTTATATGGGATCAAACTGACAACAGCAACTTGGAAGGTTAGATATGAAGTTTAGTGGCCAGTCAGTTTAAATTAATGGTGGAGGTATAATTGAAACAGGAGGTGAGAACGCACAATTTCAATGTCACTGAATAATACATGTAGAAACTATTAAACAAGTGCATGTTTTACTGTATTTTCAACAACAGATGAAATATAGAAAAAATTTCATGGCATTACTTTTTATCTAGGAACTGTATTTCCAGTACCTGGGATGGGCACATAGTAGGTACTCAAGAAATATTTATTGAATAAAATCATAATTACAATCTAAATAGCCAATAATGAAGGAGGGACAACTTAAATATATCACATCAATTTGAACAGAATATGCAGCATCTAAAATTATGCTTTTGAGGGCAAACAACATATGATATTGAGTAAAAAGAGTGGGATATAACTTTATAGATACATTATGATTCTTCCTGAGCAAGAATATTGGGAGAGAAAAAGAGAGGTTTTATCAAGCAAAAGCGATTATGGGTACTTTTATCTTTTTATTTTATGAGCTAATGTTTTTGGCTTTTTAATAATAACAAAAAAGTTATACATGTTAATCATGAAAAAAATGGAAATGTGGAAAAATATTAAGAAGAAAAAAAAAAGAACTTGTAATTCTATCATCCATGGAAAATCAGTGCCAACATGGAGGGAGGGTCTGCTTATTTTTTTATTCCCCTCCATTAACATATGCTTTGTTGGCTGGTTGGCTTTTTAAAAAAAAAAACCAAACAAACCCAAAAGACATTTTTAGTCTTCAGAAATATGACATTTTAATAACCACAAACGTTGGCATCCAATTCCTAAATAACATGCCTCTGGAAACTCTATGAACTTTGATTAATATTGATAGTTGTAGAGGGGCTTCAGGCCTTTTATTCATAGGGTCGCTATGAGTTATGCTCAATTCGAAGGCAATCAACAAGTACAACAATGTTGGCATACTAGAAATTAGTTAACCTTATAATCACTTTGGACTTTATAGGTTGTTTGTAATTTTTCACTGAAAAAAAAATTTACAGTGTGTACCCCTGTGTTCATAGCAGCATTATTCACAATAGCAAGAAAATTGAAATAGCCCAAATGTCCATCAGTAAACAAATGGATTGAAAAATTATGGTACATTCACATAATGGAATACTCTGCAGGACTAAGGAATAACAATTTAGTAAAATGCTGTATAACATGGGAGAGTGTCGAGAGCTTTATGCTGAGTGAACTCAGTATCCTAAGGACAAATATTGCATTAGACCATTATTGTAAAGATAGAAGGATAGAAGGAGAGGTAGGCAGGAAAGGAGGGACGGGGAGGAAATCACAAGAAAACAAGAGTTTGGTGGGCAAAGAGGGAGTGGTGAGGAATTAGGAAAGACCCAATTGGGACCTAAAAAGACGGGGTAATAGTAGGAATATATCAGTGGTTATTAATTTTATAAAACACAATACATATGAATTATAATACATATTAAACCATGTGAATGAAGGAATGTGTGGAACACAATGTCCATCAGTGAAGCACAATGTATATGACTTTATATGCAAACCAATATAAAACTAACAAATTACAATAGAGTCAGATAGCATGACTCAAAATCATTCTTCAAGGAATTGATTGATCAACCTTGGTGGAAAGCTAACTGGAGAAATAAGGTGGGTGTTACTGAGACTTGAAGGCTGCAGAAAAATTGGCCCAGAGGGTCTGTGAGAAACTCTGCGACAACTACTAATGATTTTAAATAAGATGGTGAGATCTTGACTCTATGGAGCTGAGATGCACACTGGATTCCTGGAAATCTCCTCTTTTGTCCTACTCAAACAATGTGTTTCCAGTGTTGCGCAGGTTTCTCTGAGCCAAGAGATTGGAGGGGCTATTACTTCCTCACCTCACTCAACTCTCCCAATTTTAGTTCCAGGTTTGGGCAATTGAGGAGCAGCCTGAGGCCAAGAACAGAATACGAGGTACAGAGTGAGGAGTTGGGGGCACATTTTCAGAGTCAAGGGGCGTTCCCAGCCCTGGAAGGCTTCCCTCCAGTGGTCACAGAAAGGAATGAGAGAGGAAAGGATGGACTTGTCAGAGGAGGGAGTACGGAGCAGTTAGCTAAGGATCAATCCTGGAAGGCTTTGCATGACAAAGAGGAGAGAGTGAAGAGGAGGAGGAGACCGATGAAGCGAGGATGAAGGCTGTACAAGAAGGGGAAGCGTGGGCTGGTGACAGGAGGAGGGCAGGGAGCAGCAAGTGTGCACTGAACGTTCAAGAGATCTAGATGGAAAGTGTGATGGAAGCCGGGCGCTGAGAGCAGAGGTGGGTGTTGGATGAAGGGCGCGGATGAGGGCAGCGGGAAGGCGAAAAGGGAGAATCACCCGACCGCGCACGTTTGCTGGCACTTGCCAATTTCCTCCCAGAATTTCCTCTGCTGGTTGAAGAAAGCGAGGTTCGGAGAGGCTGGCTGGCGTGCCAGCAGCAGAGGCTGGGGGCCGGGGCAGCAGCGCAGGGGGCGAGCGGCC